AGTAGTAGTAGTAGTAGTAGTAGTAGTAGTAGTAGTAGTAGTAGTAGTAGTAGTAGTAGTAGTAGTAGTAGTAGTAGTAGTAGTAGTAGTAGTAGTAGTAGTAGTAGTAGTAGTAGTAGTAGTAGTAGCAGTAATAGCAATACCTAGCAGCAGTAACGGCGATAGCAGCGTTCATCAAGCATTTCACCAGGAAAGCCTTAGTCCAAAGCATCTTGACCCCAACCTTGACCAAATGCAATCAACAGCACAATGGAATCCACCACCCGAGCATTGCGCTCAAGACACTCCCAAACACCTGAGATCCTCCTCGTTGACGAAGCGCCACATGTGAATACTCGCGGTCTGGTCACTGCACTCGAGGAACCTACACTGCTCAAGGATTGAAAATGCGAAAGCCTACAGACAAGCAAGCGCTTTACTGTCCGTATATCATGAGCAGCCACCAGACTTTCATCATGACTACGTCAAGCATCTTGGTCGAAACAGCGTTGCTCTAGGCCTACGGTTGAAATTAGACCCCGATGAGGATCGAGCACCGAAAGAGTGCTTTCGGTGAAATTCCTCATTCGCGAAGAAAATACGGCATTCGAGTTTGCCTTTCTCAGTATCAACATGTCAAAGGTGGAAGAAGCTGCTGATAAGCAGGTTTTCTACCACAGACTTTGACGCAGTCGATCGTCTTATCAGCACAGCCACCACCTCATTTGCAACTGCTTCAGTCATCGTGAAAGTGAAATACGTGGCCGTTGGGCACTCTGCTCCGTGCTGGGACCATCTCTCAACCTTCCCCGAGTCACTCCAAGCCGTTGCCCGCAACGTCAGACACATACAGCAGAGTTAACGAACTCATTCAGTCGTCAGCTGGTTCTTCGTCTACTCCGCGATAGAAGGATGAGAGAGGTGATGAGACTACTTCAAAATCCCCAGACATCAGAAGCAGCCCCTACCAAGAACTCACGTGAGGATGCCGCGGAGGCAAAACCGATGACAGGATACAGCAAGCAGAAGCGTTAGCTTGGGGAAAAGTTTACTGAGATTCCTACGCGGAACTACCTCTCGGCCTCTGGTTCGTCCGGACCATTGACAACTCGCCCAGTCAGCAAACAGAAATCGTAACCTGTGACCTGATACGGTTTATGAAACCAAGCTTTCTGGTAGAAGACGAACGACTAGCAGTCATGACCACGCGAGCGCAGGCCTTGACTATCTTGGTCGGCAAAGGGACAGCCCTGACGGGTCACAAGTCTCGCACACTGCCACCACTACCTTGTATCGCGAGACTCAATCGTTAAGCTCATGGGACGGGACAAGGTGTATGCCTTCTGCCACTTGCCTGGACATGAGCAAGCAAACTGCCAGACGGAGATCAGATGTGGCTTTTACAGCGGCAAACACTCCGGTAAAAGATGCCCTGAGACCGCCAACAAGCCCGCGATAAGCCTCAAATTCTTCGAGAATGTATGTAACTCCTATAGACAACATCGACCGGCACGCCTTCTCTCAGTCAAGTGCAGTAAACTGCCGTAGTCGGTCAAGAAATTTAGGGAGATCCGAGAGGGGAATTATGGAACAGCGAAGCCGGATGCCTACACCGCACATATTAGGCTCGCGAAAGACCAATACCGGCAGTACGTTGAGGAAGGGAATGACTCTAAGGTCCCTGACGACTCTGTTATCGGCCTCACAAACGCGGACGGTACCATTCCGACTTCCTTGCAAATTCATGACGCTTCTACTGTAGCACCATCCGCCACGGCTTACCAAGAACAGATCACCACCGGCAAGCCTAAGCGAAAGGCCAGACGAAGTTGTAGAAAGAAGAACAGCGCTCGCGCGGCCAGCGCAGCCCAAAACCGACCTCTGAACAGCGCTGCGATCCCCGATCACAGCAACGCCAAAATTGGCTACAAGGAAAGACAAACTGAGAATGATGCTACAAGGACTGGAAAAAAGAATGACGCTAAGAAAGGATAAGTTTTGGCTGGAAAGGGGATGAAGGAACTGGGGGAATTGAGACCATGCAAGGTCTTCGAAGAATAAAACGGATGGAACTCTTTAAAAATCAGCACACATATCCTAACTTCACACACCACAATAACGCTAGTATCTACTATGCCAATGATCAAGGGAACCTGCATATAGGCAACGCAGTTGTATTATCTTGCACTCTAGGTATAGCTTAGGCTGCTGCTACTGCTGCTACTGTTGTTGTTCTTAATTTCTGTGTGCATTTTCATTTTGCAGTCCCTATTTTACGTTACGCCCCTTCCTACTTAACCTGTTGAAAACAGATGAGTCACTATAATCACTAGGTACTTGTAGCCACAGCTAGAAACAATAAACGTGTATTGGCTATATCTTAACCCTACTTTCTCAATTAATTATCATTAGTATTCTTTTTTTCTCTTCATATAACCCCTGACTTATCAGAGATTGGTATAAAGAACATGGAGTATACTTGTGTCAAAAAGAGCTGAGAAGACGTAGGGAAGATGAGGCTTTATTCTCACATTTCCTGTGAGAGGTTGGAGCATCTTGATTCGACTGGCCTTGGCATCAGTAAAACCTGAATCTGGGCCTCTGAAAAAGGCTAAAGCTCCATGATCTTGGAACTGGAGCGCTGTCCCTCAAAGTTACTCTCAGCGCTGGTTGCTTGGGTGGATTGGCGGATATATCGAAAGTAACGAACTTTTTCGAATCCTTTCCAGGTAAGCCCTTCCCACAAAAAGCTTGCTCATGCGCGTCTTGCTCACGTACATCCTCCTCTTGTGCGTCCTCCTCGTGTATGTCTTCGTTTGTGTCTTCGTGTGTGTCCTCGTGTGTGTCAACCTCGTGAGTATCTTCCTCGTGTGTAGCTATGTCGCCAGTTCCCGCCAGTAAAACCTCAGCTTCAAGGGGATCCCTGCCCCTTCTGCGCTTCTTACGGCATTGATGCCGGACTACCCAAGAGTACTGCGTTGCTTGTTTGGAAGGTGCGCAATTGACGGTGCTTTTTCGGTGTTTCGTCGCCTTGCTCGTCACTTTTCTGACTTCCGAGGGGAGCGTGCCACCAGAGGCGTATACCATGAATCTGAAGAGTAGAGTTGTCTCTTGAAGTTCTTTGGGCTCCTGAGGGCCTTGAGGGAGTTTTAGATACTCCACCTTCTTTGAGTGATTCTCAAGGCTAATTTTGGAAGTTTTGCTTCCAGAGGAACTGTTTTCAGACGAGGTGGTCGGCTCTTCGGAGGGTGGCGAGGGCGTCTGTGGTGGACGCGAGGACCATGAAGGGGGCGAAGAAAAATAGGAAAAAAGTGAGTTGATCGTCTCCATCGCTGACATAAAGGCACAGACTATTCATTGAAATATATCTGCGATAGGAGTCGTTGTTTTCCGATAGACAATGTTTTGCACGAGGGCTTCTTCTGTATCGAAGCTGGAATATTGGTCTGGGTTGAACGGACGAAAATATCCAATTAGAATTGTTAACTATCCTTGGAGCTTTCTAAGACCAAACCTATCAGTTCAATCAATAACTTTACACTAAAAAGGTTGAGAGCGTAGCCGCTCCGTTTATCTGCCACTGGTTTGCTCATCTCATGAACCTGTTTGCCGTGTAAGGTTTGTATGAGAAAGTCAAGAGACTTCAAGCGAATGAGTGCAAACCACTTGATTTCGGCACGATGACAGAGCTTTTGAAGCTGTTTGAGTATGCTTCACGTCAAAAACAAAATATAACGGCCGACGAGATGAGTATCCTGTTTGCGCTGGAATAACAGAAGCTTCAGGGACGTGGACTATCTTATCAATAACCATTTTCGCTCTCTCACAGCCGTAATAGTAATAATGGCGGGTATCAACCCCTGCAATAGAAGAGATGAATCATTCTTCTGAAACATGCAGTATATTGTTACACAACACAGGTATGGCACACCTCACGTCAATAGCTCAAGATGTAGTGTGAGTGAAGCCATTGCAACGGGTAGCACAGACATCCGAGACAAACAGACAATATGGCATTCAAGAGCCACTTAAATGAAAGTTCAAAAACAATAGTCATTCATTTGAGAATGGAAGTATATACAGTGACTAGATAAATAAAACAAAAAAGGTAAAACCGGCAACCTTTGCGCTCTAAAGTACAGTGAATAATGTTATTCGTAATATTGGCTTCTGGGTCCGTTGTCGATGACCTCGCATCATCTGCCTTTGGGTATCATCATCCCTTTTCATCCCTAGGGTTCTCTATCATTCCTCATCGTGGTTTTTGAATCTCGAGCGTCCGGTTTACAAATCAAGTCTCCAACTTCAGTCCATTGTAGTGGCATAGACGGTCTGGATCGTCATCATCACTCACATCTTCAGCTCGCCAAGATCGCCAAGATCCACGCCCGTGGAGATGGTGGCGAGATGAATGTCTGAATATCCAATGTCGGAAGAGTTGAAGCAGTTGGTGCCGTTGACCGGCGGGATCCGTTTGTCGCCCGGCTCGACAAAGGTGATGTCGACGCACTGTTAAATCTCCGCATCAGCCTCACATTCAATGTTCCAAACGATACTACGTCAAAGCGTTTTCCACAATCATGGGCACTTACCGAGAACAGCGCGGCGCCGTGCTGTGCTGACATGACAATCTGGATCGTGGCATTGACTCCCGCCTTGACGCCGATATCAGTCGGCACCGTCACATGGTCCAAACAGATGGTGCCCGGGAAGGGGTTGTTGCTGGGGCCGAGAATGCCAAACTTGGGCACAATCTGGTGCTCCATGTGCAGCGGTCCGCCATCGGGGCCGTCACTGCCCATGCCCAGGTTGACCTGCAGCATCGCCGTCGCATGGCCCACGAACCAGCCGGGCTGGAACGATATGGGCGCTCCCGTCGTGGGCCAGAAGGTGCGGTTTGTTGTCGCAGGGTGACCACCGCCTGGATGAATTGTTAGCAACCCGCTACGAAGAGAATGATGGTAGGCATCGCATTGAGAGAAAGTCTTACAGGGATACATCCACTGCATGCCGTATGGGAACGTCGCGTTGGTGATTAGATTGTCGCCGCGCCAGCCGGGATACACGATAACGACATGTGCCCATGAGAGAAGAGGCAGAGCCAAAAGCCATACGGCCATCAGTAAACTTCTCGCAGCCATTATCGAGGCAGATGGTGATGATATCGGTCTCGGATTGATCGCTTTATTCTTTTGTGCGCTTCGCCTTTATAAAGAGAATTTGTAACGGGGAATTCCTTGTTTGGGAGAGCTGCTGTTGGTTCTGCTGTCGAAATGTCGATGAATGTAACCCAATAAGTGGGAAGATGCAATCAATCTCGGAAGATTTAAAAACAGCGGTCGCCAGGTAAGGGCCACTCTGACTCCTCAAAAGATGATGATGATGATGCTATATGGTCACAGGAAAATACAGAGATACGCACAGAAGGCCGACGAGTTGTTTTTGCAAGAAGCAAAAGAAAAAGGCGAGATGCCGCCTGGAATTATGTACAAAAGCCCGCTTCCTCCACGCGCCCACCCCGGAAAAGGTTCCCGCAGCCGCTCAGCAAGAGGCGAAAAAGCCGGCTGGGCCAATCGCTGGATTTCTTTCACTGATCCTGGAAGCGCTGCACCAATCAGTCTCACGAAGCGAGCCCTCCGCTAAGCCAATGTCCGACTAGGCGCTTAACATGCAATGCAACCCCTCTGGGAGCTATTTTTAGAGGCGGACTCGGTATCCTTGCAGAAGTTTGGCATGGCAAAATGCGACTCACCTCTTTTATTTTGCTCAGCTTCTTCTTCTTTGGTGACAGCTTGTTGAAGTTTGTGGATTTAAGGGCCAAGCTGAGCACATTTGTCTGAACAAGATGGCTTACGACGCACATGGCCATAACCTTTCGGCGTCCGGATCCCAGCAAGAGTTAATTATCCCGCCCCTCTTTTGTCTGTATACGTCTTACACTGGAGACTGCTACTGGCTGGTCTAGTATCCAGAATCTTTAGCTCCGGCGGCAACTAGCTCTCTAGCTACAGCTACTGGTGAGTTCGGCCGTTGGAGCGATCCACTCGAGTCCAATAACGCCAATTGGCGACGAACCGATCTAATGCCCCAGTTGCGTTGAAAGCGTCTTGTCTGTTTGAAGAAAGAAGAATTATACAATAGAAAACCCTCATTCAGGTAAAGGGTAAAAAATTTGAGTTCATTTTGTAGGATAATGGCTATTCACGAAGCAGGCATGATACATGCATCCATCCACACAGCTCATGATGCCGAGGTCTGGGACAAGCATATGTATATATGTACACGAACAAAGCTCCAACTACCTCTTAACTGTAGCTAGGCAACGATAACTTCCAAATTGTAAAGATATCCGCCAAGATGCATTATTAAGAGAAAAGTGGAGTGGACTGCGTCTTCCCATTGTCTTCAGCAAGATCGAGAGGCCCCAGATGAGACCTCTTAATCTCCGCCATCCATGGGCATGCATGCATTATCACCTTGCATATTGGACAAGATCAGGCTCTAAAAATAGTATGCCACTAACATGTAAAAGTAAATGATATTGAACAACTGGGCAAGTGGTGGCTGCATCATAACGCTACTCTGCTGCACTAACATGCAGTTACTTACCGGGAGCAAGCAGAATCTAGTCCTTTAACGGTACAAAATCCGAGCAGAATGGCTTCGCTCTGCGTATCAACCATGGCTTTCTCTGATCTACAAATTCCAACTACGGAAGAAATGACTCTTTACTTGCTTTACTCCACACGGTACGCCGGGTGATATCCGAGCATGTATTACAAACTCGAGTCACATGTGTACCAGCGAACAGATTCGAGGAGACATTCAATTTAAGCGGACAGAATGACTAAACTCATGAGTTTGGACAACAAAAGGGCGCATTGTGGCAAGATAAACCCCGCATTGTGGGCATCGATAAGTGGTCTCGAGACGTCGTTTATAACGAATTGTGGTGGCACACTAGGGATAGATAGAATCGTGGAACTTGTGCCAAGGACCCAGAAACTGTTCAGCACCGATGGTTAACTCGGTACAATCCAGCTATTGGGTCGCTTACTGTGATGAAAGTGATGAACATGCATCGGATGAGGACGACGCCACAAAAGGTCTTGGGCGGTGGCATGGCGGCAGTGCTCGCATTCTGTTGGGGACGTTGCAATTTTTGGACATAGACTTGGGTACATGTAGTAGACATACAGTAGCAGCAGTAGTAGTAGTAGCAGTAATAGCAGTAGTAGATATGGTAAATATAGCATATACTTATAACTTAAGGCAAAAGTAGAGGCAGCGTTGTTAACAGAGTTCTGACAATTATTAGTTTAGAATGATTAATACATTTCAACAGCTTGTATCATTCACAGCTCTCCGTTGGCCTTTAGAATGAAAATTGGTGAGGCCATTATACACGATTTTCCACTCTGGTAAAGCGTGATTAATGGCCGTTAAGATAATTTTCAATATACTAGTAGCTGTCGATTCTAGTGCTTCCTTTCTGGTAACATCAAAAGGAAGCAGAGCTCCATTCGTTGGTACTCAGTACATAACTACAGCTAGATTTCTGACAGCGGTACAGGTACTCTACATTAAGCAGATTTTCGGTATGGCAGGCACGTAGCGCTGCTTCCGACCAAACGACCGCTACTGCCTCATCCAGAGAAAGTAGCGGTCGAGCAGACATTTCCCACACCTAAAGAAAAATGTTAAACTCAATGGATTCCCTTCAATTTATGCGTACGCAATTGTCGTCTGCCAACCAGCCATTGATCGCAACCGCAGGCTGCCAAAACGATCATCTCGATGCAAAAGCAATAAAGGACATGGAACACATAGTTAGGACGCCTTTGGTATCTCAGGTGCCAAAACATCGTCGCAGCTCTCGTCTCAATCTAACAGACATTGAGCCAATTGGGGATGCAGCCGCCAAGTCTTCTGCTTCTCCGCCGCCAAAACGCTATTGCACCACTTGATTGAGCCCACTGTGCCCTGAGAGCGTTGTTGATGACACAATTGATGTGCCTTTGTCTCTCTGGTCAATGAACTTGGCCACAGCTCCAGCGACAAAGTTTCAGTTGAAACAGAGTTTTGGTCTCCTTGTCTCCAGATCATGATGGCAGTCTTCTTTTGACGCCAATTTCTGTCCCAGGTTCGCAAGACTCGGACTACGAAGAGGAACTTGAACCAACTTAGTCGTCGGATGAATCAAACCTCATTGATGGCAAGAACGGCGCTGTCGTCACTACGCCTATAGTCACTACGCCTATAGTCTTGAGCCCTCTAGTACAGGCGGGGCTGATCAGACAAGGTTTCGACCCGGAAATCTTCACCACACCGAACGTTGACTAGTTGGAGGCCATGATGAAACATTTTCGTATGGCCCTGGTACAGTCGAGGGTATACGTCGGCTCATCACGCAGTAAGCTGGTCTGTCTCTGCGGTCTTTGATAGCGTGCTAATGGCAACAGCATTCGTCAGACTACCTATGCACAATCATCGGTAGACCCCATAACGTTTGCGGCCGACAACGAACGGAGTAACTGGGACTGTGACGACCCTGGTATGACTGCCGTTTGGGAATTTCTTGTTGCCGAAGCGAAGGAAAAGATCCTGCTCGTAAGCCCGTCGTACAGTTTTGGCTCTATGACAGTACCATCAGGCGCCTTGGGACCAATTTTCCATATTATATGGTATGTTCATTTCTGTCTCTGTCCATGGCAAGTTACTACATTGAAAGCCACTTTTTCATCTGGCAAACATGAGACCAATCTGTTTAGGCACGTGGTATGTTCGTCTTTTAGTGGTTCTGAGCATATACAGTCTTGCTGATCCTCCTTGAGAATAGGATCCAAAAGAATCCAAGTCTGCGCCAGCAAATCAAGAAAATCGGAAATCCCATGAACGTGTCGACTTCCGACATGTTGCCATTCCGCAGCACCGCCACAAAGCCTCAATAGGAAAAAGATTTTGGAGCAGTTATCTGGCAGCAGTTGGTTCATCTAAGTGTAGGCTTCAACTACCTTATGATGAAAACCAGTCCTATTATCCTTCTTGTCGGAAAGTAATCCCGGCAGAAATGCATTCTAATTAGCAATCAGTATCTACTTTACCTTAATCACGCGGATATTCCTTATTGTATATAGCTCTTATAACTATTAATTAGAAAGGAATAAGTTATGTCTTAGGGGCTTAGGGGTATACAGTATATAACGTACGATTTCATTCTAATGGAACTTATTTCGTCTTCACAAAGAGAAAATGAATTCTCCTAGGACAGAGACACGAAGGCCACTTTCCTTATTTTACTGATGAGATATGAAGTTAAATGCATTAGGGCTAATCTCTTTGCTTCTAGAAGCAGGCTCGCTTCGACCCAACTACCTGAACCCAATGCATACAATTACCCGCATGGGTTATTAAGGGAATCGAGGAACATTAAAAGTTATCCTGCATCCCGGTTCTATCATCCAGCATCCTAGTTATAGCAGCGGTAATAGTAGTAAATGAAAGCAGTATAAGTAATAGAAGTGAATAACAGCAGTAGCAGTAGTAAAACTAATAGCAGCAATAAAACTAGTAGCAGTAGTAAAAGTAATAAAAGCAGTAATAGCAGTAGCAGCTTTGAGCCCTTTTTGCCTCGCGTTTCTCATTCTATGAGGCATTGCTTGAATCTTCTTCCAAATGTGCTTTTCCGGCCGTTGAAGATCGACTTTCCACAATGGCAGGGTCATCTGTATATGAGATTACCATCTGTAGCTTATCGTCCCACCTGAAATCCTTGAAGTATAGTTGCGAAACAAAAAGTATTGCGGTTTTGATGATGGCCACATTTTTCGCACAGTTTCTCGGCGGTTCAGATAATGCTTCTAGATCCTTGCTGAGATACGCCGCTATTTGAAGTGAGTCCTTTTTCTTGATATAACGTTGTAACTCAGCGGCGTTGCGATTATTAACATAAGCGCCTATGGCTCTTGCAACATCCAGCGTGTCCTGCTTTGTGAGCATAGCAACCATTTGCAGCAGCCTCACTAAGGGCACGTTTCTGCTTGCAATTGGGTCGTCCGGACATTGCTTGCCGGTGATGAATACACTTTCGTCCAATAGACGTTCATAGATTGCTGACCATGATTCGCGCAAAAAGAATTGCCATGCTTCATTCTATATGGCGTGAGGCGCAGGCTTGAGATCATCGGTGGGCTTAAGGCCATCATATGCGGGCTTGAGTTCGTCAGGACCAGAGTCGGGCTCGTTATAAGTAGACTTGGAGCTGCTGATCTCATAGTCGCTGTTCTTTTTGAGGTCTCTCGCCGTTTTTCTCATGTGGCTTGTGTATATAGCTAAATAATCGCTGTATCGAAGATGGAATTGCACCTCCAGCAGCTCTTCCAGTTTTCTAAACGCAGGTTCGTAGGCTTTGTCGGTCTTTATTCGATCATGCATCTCCGATACCTTTGTTGTCATCTCGCGAGCGAACTTGGTCTGCTTTCGGAAATCAGGATTTTCAATGTGATCATCCATACGGTGAATAAGGTCCAGTACAATCTTTTCGGACCTAGGGCTAATAACCCGATGGCCTTCTTCTTCGATTTGAAGCAGCTCGTAGTTGAGCCCTGCACTGTTTAATTGTTGCTCTCGCCGCGTGGCTTGGGCAATGTTGTCTTTTACGGACGCTCAACTTGGAAGTCATGGCGGTGTTGGGCAGTAGGAGCAGCGGCAAATATAACCCAAATAGTATTGAGAGAAGAGGTGAGTAAAAGTAGCGATTTGGTGTTAAGAAGATAGTTGAAGTAGAAATGAGGGCGAGAGTGCGGGTTATTATATAGGTCGGAGCTTCCTTATCTTTGACTCATTTGCTGCCCCAGCGGTATTAAGTTGTTGGCATTGAACTTTATTTCAGCGGGGAACTGTACCTCAAATCCTTTTGTGAAGCAGTCTAGGTAAACGACCAAGCTTTACTTAATCTTATTATGGCCAAACGAGTTGAACTTTATACTCTCTGTAGATGAGAGCTTAACCGCATGGAAACTTAAGTCTTCTATAAGCCTACCTCTGCTACCTCTGCTACCTCTGCTACTCCTGCTACTCCTGCTACTCCTGCTACTCCTGCTACTCCTGCTACTCCTGCTACTCCTGCTACTCCTGCTACTCCTGCTACTCCTGCTACTCCTGCTACTCCTGCTACTCCTGCTTAATCCTTAAGTGTATATATAATTAAATAACCCATGGGTTAATGTATACAGTCTGGCTTTGATGGGAGCTAATTTCACCAGTACTACTAGTGTAGATAATGTGACACGAACGGCCACTGTTTTAACCCAAAAAAAGCGCAGTCTTATCGAGAAACCAGCCAAGTGGAATTCAGCATTGACTACATGTTTTACCCCCTCTGCAAGCTACCGAGTGCACACGACGCACATGAATAGCCACGAAGCCGAATGCATATTGCGGATATGAAAACGGCGATGAAAAGGGGGCATGTCAGATACGTGGAAGCATTGCATTTCGAATGAGTGCAGCGAAAGCCACCGCCACCTCAGAACCAGTCACTAATATGCTGTTCGTCGATGTCAACAACAGCGAGCAGAGAATGCAAAATGCATCGTATGTGAAGAAGCGAACGCCCGCTTCCTTCCACAGCTGGTCTCGAGACTTGCAACATTTACTGACAAAGATAGTGTATGATTGCTTCCAGATTCAAATTAACAACATCTTATACTCATGCTATACTTTGCTTCTTAATTATACGAAGCTTCCTAGCGGGGCTCTGGAGTGGCTTTTTAAGCTTGCAAATGTGCCACGCAACCTACACTCGGCTCTATTCCGCATCTTTACTCAATTTTGACTCAGCCCTCTTCCATTTACACAGGAACATGATCTTGGGAAATTCTACGGCTGGATAGGCTTGAGGTCATTGCCTCTACGTGATAATGAAATGTGCGTCAGCTGGAGCAATGAGACATGTTTCACTAATCAGTTAATTGGTAATTAAATCCTCCCGGATAGGAATTAAGCGTATGTCGACTCGAGATGCTCAGACTCTGTTACCACTTACGAGTTTGGTCTTAACCATACTATCCAAATCCTTCAAGATGGAGGTAAGATCAGTGGTGTACACCAATATCCTATTTCTGTGGAGAGCGAGTTGGGTAACTCTAAGATAACCTGGGGCTCCGTGATCCATAATTCGGGTGACCATAGCAGATCGTGACCGAGTCTGGGGTCCCTAGACATGGAATTCGATTTCTTATATCTCGTTGACAGTGCGCAAGACAGTATCATACTCACTATGCACTGTATGCCAACACATTTTGTTTCCCTTGAAGAATCCAGCATCTTGAACCATATGACAGTGACTTTCCTGTCCAGCATCCGTTAGGATAGCCCGTCGCATCTCATATGCTCGGACAACATCCGTTAGGTTTCTACAGTTTCTAGTGGCACAGTTTTGGGCCATTCACGCCTGTCCTGCAGTGTCAAAGAGGCGGTGCTATTCCCCTCCACTTTTAAGAACCACTATGCTTAACACCAGCTCTACGGATACTTGCAGTGCAGATGCACAGTGAATTTGCACAGTCTAGCGTGCAGCGTTTGGCCCAACTGGGGTTCGCGCTGATGGGGCCGTTTTCTCTTGTCCAGGCAGCCTTACAAGGCACCTGCTGAACATCGAAGTGAGAGGAGGCTCTTAGGAGGCTGTGAGGCTTAGCTGCCAGCTGGAGCACTGCGGCTCATTATGATTTCTCGCCAGTGACTCAATCGGCGGTCAGATCCTTGTTTAACTCGTTTGGCGATTTTTTACTGTTTTCGTGTACGGCCCTTTCCTAGAGCGCTTATGGTCGGAATGGAGGCCATGGGGAGAGAGAGATGATTGCAGCTGGGGGAGCACTTTATTTAACATGCAGGGAGGGGGATGGGTGACACAGCATAAAATTTCGGAGCACGCGACGAAGAGCCAGTGAGAATTGCCTTGTGCCACGCTGCCGCCAGGCGTTGTGAAGCTGTCAATTGAATTACATGAATGTATAGAAAACAGACACTTGATGCTCAATCATGATTGGGAAACTACCAAGACAACACTTCAATGCTGTTTGTTGAAAAGCACTGAAAAGCGCTGAAAAGCACATGCCACAAGCAGATCAAATCCGGTGGCGGCTCCAAAGAGGGGCCTCCCATCAAGCTCCGGCGCAATCAGGCAGTCAGTTCTCCACTCGGACGGGAGTCATCCAACGAGATCTGCCGGCAATGCTGGCGCTGGCCATTCACATCGCCTGGCCTCGTCTCCACCGCCCAGGCCGCAGCTCAGCTGTCAAACACCATCCTTGGGCTGGCTTGGCTCCCGTCCAGGCTTGATCTGCCTGGAGCAAGGCCTGCATGTATATATAAGGAGAGGACGCTCGTCTTATGGCTGCATGTAAGACACGACACTCTCACTCCTCTTCTCTCTCTCAGAGCAGCGTTGGGACTCTTTCATCTGGGACTTTTCTGGGAGGCGAGGCTCGCTCACAGCTCAGTTCACCGCACATACATTGGATTGAGTGGCGCCTTCTGCTGGGACCGTCCTTTACAAAACAATATCCCAAATCTTGCGTCTCTCAAAGCCTGGGTCACAAGCAGCAGCCATGGATCCCTTCATCAACATGTCTTCTCTCCCAGGCGGCGGAATCGTCCCCAATCCGCAATTCGCCCTGCTCAACTACTTCTTCCCCGGCTTCTCCATGTTCTCATCCGCCTTGCACACCTACCTCGGCATCGACCTCAACTTCTACATCCCCCTCATCGTCGCCATCTTCGGCCTCAACTTCGTGTGGGGCTACATCAGCACTTCTCTGTGGGCATGGATCGACGAGTACCTCATGTCGTCCTTCAGGGTCCGCACCGATGACGAGATTTACAACATGCTCATGCTTTGGATCTCGCGCCAAAAGTTTTCGCAAAACTCGCGCCGCTTCCTGGTCAATACCGACCTCTACTCTCGCAGCAGCTACGTCTGGGGAGGAAACTCGGATGACGACAGCGACGATGAGGGCGACGAGGACGTGCCTGTTGTCGATTTCATGGGGCCAAAGCAGAACCTCCATTACACCCCGTCCTTTGGCTCTCATCTGTTCTGGTACAAGAGCCGCCCATTCTTTTTTGAGCGCCACCAGAACCAGCAGCAGATCAACTTCCAGAGCGCCAGCGAGCGAGAGGAGCTCTCCATCTCATGCTTTGGCCGGAACCCTCGCCTTCTAAAGGAGCTCCTTGCCGATGCTCGCCAGATGTACCTCAAGAAGGACGAACGCAAGACTCTCATCTACAGAAGCTCCAGCGGCTCTGCTTACGGCGGAGAGCCATACTGGCAGCGCAGCTTGTCTCGTCCTAACCGCCCCTTCTCGACCGTCATCCTGGATGAGAAGCTGAAGGAGGATCTGATTGCCGACACCGCTGACTACCTCAACCCTGCTACTCGTCGGTGGTATGCCAACCGTGGAATTCCCTATCGACGCGGCTACCTCTTGTATGGCCCTCCAGGTACCGGAAAGAGCTCGCTCAGCTTGGCCCTGGCTGGATACTTCCGTATGAAGATTTACATCGTCAGCCTCAGCTCCATCAACGCTACCGAAGAGGGCCTCACTTCTCTCTTCGGCAGCCTCCCCACCCGTTGTCTCGTCCTTCTCGAAGATATCGACACTGCTGGCTTGACTCACACGCGAGAAGAGCCAGACGCTGCGCCTAATCCCGCCCCAAGCACGGATCCTTCAGCTCCTCCTCCTCCTCCTTCGTCCTCTTCTTCATCCTCTGGATCCACTGGTCGCCTTTCACTCTCTGGCCTCCTCAACATCCTTGATGGCGTTGCCTCGCAAGAGGGACGTCTGCTCATCATGACCACCAACCACATCGAGAAGTTGGACAAGGCGCTTATCCGACCCGGCCGTGTGGATATGATTGTTCCCTTCTCTCTTGCCGACAAGACCATGTCCGAGTCCATCTTCCGTGCCATCTACGCTCCCTTTGAGAGCGAGTTTGCTTCAACCGAGCTTGCCATGAAGGCCAAGGACGGTTCCAGTACTCCTAAGCGTGCTGAGCCCTCCGAGGAGGCAAAGGAGAGATGGGCCCGCCAGCACGCCGAAATCTCTGAGCGTATTGAAAACCTATCCACGCACTTTTCCGCCAAGATCCCCGAGCACGAGTTCAGCCCCGCTGAGATTCAAGGACTGCTTCTTAGGCACAAGCGTTCTCCTGAGGAGGCCATTGAGGCTGCTGACGCTTGGGTGATTCAGACTCGCAAGGATAAGAAGGAAAAGGAGATTCAGGAGGCTGAGAAGCGCCGCAAGGAGCGAGAGGAGGAGGAGAAGAATAAGCTCAAGGCTGAAGAGGAGAAGAAGAAGAGTGAGGAGGCCGAGAAGAAGACCGATGAGGCTTCGGATAAGAAGGAGAGCACTGAGACTAAGAGTGCCGACGATACTCCTAAGCAGCCTCTGTCCGCTGGAGAGGCTGGGAAGGAAGAAGTGAAGTCCGAGACTGTAGAGACGGCCGAGGCGGGAACTGTGAAGGAGGAAAAGAAGAGCACGACTTCGGATTCCGAGTATGAGCGTGTATGATTGTGGCAAGAGTGTCACATAACGGATCGCATAGCGTGGCGTTTTCTTTTTTTGTTTTTGGAACTTGTACTTTGTATTTTGACCTACATCAATAGAGTACATGAAATAAGAAAATACCTAGGAGAACACTCAATTTAAATAACATGATATCTCATATTGATCGCAAGTTCTCCAATGTCCATGCTTATTGGTTTCTCGTTTTTCTTCTTAGTACAGCTACCCGGTATCATTACTACTTCATATTGTCAAGACAAGTTCTTATCGTTGCATCATGCGTTATAGCCTAATGCATCTAATTTGATTCAAAATTATTACATTTTGCTTGTCGACTGGTATACACTTTTATCACGCACCAGAGGGAACGCCGCACTGAGGCCTAGACAATCGTTATGATCGCACTACTATAACCGTGTCCTCTGTAGCATCTATCCTTTAGATACGAAGGAGTGTAATATCGGCGTGTCTTAGATTCTTGTAATGTTGTTTACTGCCTTGTGTCTTTTATTTACTCAAAATATTGCATTTCGTCATTTTCTAATCTCCTTCTGGTGGCTATTGTCGATTACGAGGTTGCCGTTATTGGATCTCTATCTACTGAGACGCTCTCTCTCGCGTATGCATGCGGAGCTCTGTATCGATAAGACGCGGCTGGGATTCTGCAAATCTCAAGATCACGACATAAGCGCTGGGAGATGCCGCTTCCCCGCAATAAACCAACGTGGTGTTGCGATTTCACGCATTGACATTGTGGTCTCTCAATCTGTTGGCGATCATGTACAGAACTGACGGTACGAGTACGCAGGTCGCTGGCCAATGAGATTAGGTTATTGCGGGTCTAATACATGTTAATTACCGCACAAGACGTATTCGCGATATGCAAGGTACTAGTGCAATGTTCGTATTCGCATCCTATCTTTGGATTGATCAGTGGTTGTTTCATGCACGGCAATCTAGAGCTGGCTGTAATTCATCGAAATGCGACACATCACCGATGGTGAATCTTATCAACCTGCCAAGATGGTGTGATGCAGCTTTTGCCGTTTGTCTTGGGCACCTTCCTTGGATTCTCGCGAAGCTGGGTCGCGACTTCTCGATCCGAGTTACGAGGCCGGTAGTGGGGCCGTCCCGGAATCCGAGCGGACGTCGTGAACGAAGCCATGCCTGCGCGGTTGCGGAGTGACGATGGCATCTACATGATGAGGGATTACCTTGGGTAGCTTCTGCTTCTGGCAACAGATTGCGGACGATTTACGCTTTGTAGCCTTGGAGTTTATACCACGCAAGCCTCAAGCCTGTCAGGAAAGGGGCTTTTGATGTTGCTGGCGTTCTAAGGCTGTAAAGTTTACTACAAAGTACCTGCTTGTACTTTAGCAAAAGACAATGGAGAGGATAAAGACACGTCTTAGGACGAGGTGGTACAAAGATTTCCAGGCAGCGTCTGTCCTTATGGATCAACTGTCGGTGAATGCAAGCCAAAAATATCGGTCTCACCGTGTTCAGTCTGACTTTGCATGTCCGCCGTTGGCCATACAGATATGGCTTTCGGAGCAAGCTCACGGAGAGAAGGGTAGAATAGGTAGTCGGCGACATTAGATTCGGCGCATTAGAGTCCGTGATGGAACTAGCCGCAATGTGCCCGGCCCGGCTGAGATTGGTCCTAGAACTGTGCAACTCTTGCCTAAGCCAGGGTCAATGATGCAACTGGCAGCGCTGGAGAGTGCCATTTACATAAATGGCTGAAAGGAGATGATGCTGGCGTTGGTCCCCATGTAAGTGAAGCCTAAGCTGAAGAGGGAATGGTGGGACGAAGAGGATTGTAGCGATGTAGGAAGCGGAAGAGAAAAAGGTGGTGGGGCGATTGACAACGCAGCATGGTAAGACTTTGGACAATGCGCTGCGATCTGGGCGATGGGAATAGAGGCAGCGAGTGAGCTGGCACTTTGCAGGAGAGAATATGGGACGACACGCGGCCCGACTGAACGGCCACACACAGAGTGCTAATAGCAAGCTGATGGCTACGAAATATGGAGCGAATTGGGCGCGAGGGGATGGAGGACACGGTAGCAATGGCACGAGAGCATTTGGGAGTGATAGAGATGCTGCTGCTACAAGAAATTTCTGGGGCGAGTAAGGAGAGCCCACTTGATGATGAAGGCTGGATTTTCCTTTCCCCCACAAACTTACTCGCTTGTGAGCAATCAGAGATAACGCTCGCATGGGGGCCTCTCAGGGAGGAACAGATCAGACAATCTGAAGGCGAAGAAGATCCGGATTCGAGTGTCCTGCTGCATGTATCTAGATCTAGATATTCATTCCCTGCTGCGTTCTCACACACACTTGCTCGTATCTCTGTGCTCAGGTACGGCACGGTATTCGCGTGCTCCGTACTCGTAGTCGCGATCCGCTAAGATAGCAAAGCTCGCACTACCGGCAATCTACTCAGCCATGCAATTTCCAAGGCCAGATTGATGCGATCAAAAAGCGCCAAAAGGAAAAAAAAAGCAACGGCCGATCCCCACCTGGCCAGCATCTGGATCCCCCCCCCCCTGTGGATGCACCTCTGCCTGCTAAACCATAGCGGGAGTGTCCACTGGTAGCGCAACCCCTGGCAGAAGCGCTGCCGCTATGCAGTCCCCTGCGACTAAGGCGCTACAGCGACCGCCTGCCACCAGGGCGGTGAAAACCTTTAAATGGACTTGCAGCCCGCCACGTCCCAGCCAGAAAGTCGACGGTATCCCCTCCTGAGCTGGCAGCTTTCCTCTCCTTCACTCTTTACTCTCTCAACTCACTTGAACAGCTCTCTCAAGCTTCATTACACCCAGCTCTACCTTTCAGAATGGCCGCCCGACCTCAGAACATTGGCATCAAGGCCATTGAGATCTACTTCCCCAGCCAGGTTCGTCAATTGCCCCTCCATCCACCGCAATTCCTCAAAATCATGCCGCTGACAGTGATTTCTCCCAACAGTATGTTGAGCAGACCGAGCTCGAGAAGTTCGATGGTGCTGCCGCTGGCAAGTACACCATTGGTCTAGGCCAGACCAAGATGGCCTTCTGTGACGACCGAGAGGGTGAGTTTGGCATTTCTCTATTCTCCCCGCGCATTTGCTACACTTTTTTTTTTCTCTGCCTATACCCCTGAATTCTTGAGCCCACGACTAACATTGACTCTAGATATCTACTCCATGTCTCTCACCGTCACCTCAAGACTCATTAAGAACTACAACATCGACGTCAACGAGATCGGCCGTCTCGAGGTTGGCACCGAGACCATCCTCGACAAGTCCAAGTCCGTCAAGTCTGTCCTGATGCAACTGTTTGGTGAAAACACCAACATTGAGGGTGTCGACACCCTCAACGCCTGCTACGGCGGCACCAACGCCTTCATCAACAGCGTCAACTGGGTCGAGTCCTCAGGCTGGGACGGCCGCGACGCCATTGTGGTCGCTGGTGACATTGCCCTCTATGCCAAGGGTGCAGCCCGACCAACCGGTGGCGCTGGCGCCGTGGCCATTCTTGTTGGCCCTAACGCCCCTCTCGTTGTTGAGCCCGGTCTGCGCGGCACCTTTATGCAGCACGCCTACGACTTCTACAAGCCTGACCTGACCAGCGAGTACCCCGTTGTCGACGGCCACTTCTCCCTCACTTGCTACACCAAGGCTCTTGATGCTGCCTACCGGGACTACTGCAAGAAGGAGGCCAAGTTTGCCAACGGCACCACCAACGGTGTCGACTCCAGCAAGACCCCTCTCGACCGCTTCGACTACCTTGCTTTCCATGCCCCCACCTGCAAGCTGGTCCAGAAGTCATACGCCAGACTGCTGTACCACGACTTCCTGAACAACGCTGATGCCGCTGCCTTCGCCGAGGTCGCCCCTGAGCTGCGTGACATGGATTATGAAAAGTCCCTGACCGACAAGGCTCTGGAGAAGACTTTCATGGGTCTCACCAAGAAGCGCTTCCAGGAGCGCGTCAACCCCGCCATCCAGGTTGCCACCCTCTGCGGCAACATGTACTGCGCCAGCGTCTGGGGTGGTCTGGCCAGTCTGCTGTCCTTCAACGACGCCAAGGCTCTCGAGAACAAGCGAATTGGTCTCTTCAGCTACGGCTCCGGCCTCGCCGCCACCTTCCTGTCTCTCCGCGTCGTCGGCAACGTCGAGACCATGCACAAGATCCTGGACATCCCCGCTCGTCTGGAGGCCCGCCGTGCCGTCCCTCCTGAGACCTACGATGAGATGTGCAATCTCCGAAAGCAGGCCCATCTCCAGAAGAACTACACCCCCAAGGGTGATGCCTCTACCATTGCTCCTGGCACCTACTACCTGGAGAACATTGACGACATGTTCAAGCGCGAATACAAGGTCAAGGCTTAAATTGGCCTAGACGGTCAATCTTCTTCTTTCACCACCTTTTTCATTGAACATAAAGAAAACTTAATTTTTTTTTCTGTTTGAATAATTTGTGCGGCATGGAGCACACGGCGTCCTATTTTTGAAAAAACCACTATTGGGCGATTGTTATGGGAATACTACCTACGCTATCTAGTGGCACGACGAAAGCACAGCGATAGACTCATCTGCTTGAGGGAAACGCAGATGATAAACTTGGAATTTGTTGCGATGATTTTTTCTTTTTTTTTTTCTGAATATAGACGGCAAAAGTTGGGCATGTTTAAGACCCGTAATGAGAAGCCGTGAAGAATAAAATACGAGGATGGAGAGAAATACATGATGCACATGAGTTGTGCCGGGTATCATGAGTGTAAAGTATTTAGAGATGAGCTTTGCTCTCAGGAGCTTGAGCCTTCAAAATATAGACATGATATGATGTGCGAATTGAAGTTGCTCTATAAGATTATGTGATGATATGTTGTGAGCTTATATGCTCAGGGTATCCATTGGTTTCTATTGTTTTACATGGCCATCCTGGCCCATCGCATTGCATGTCTAACAGTAAGCTGCAGAGCAAGCCTTCTTTTGGTCTAATCTAATCTCTGTCATGTTCACATCAAGCTCCTTTTTCTCTTCCTCATCTTATATCATACATATACATCACTCATCCCCCTTGTATTTCCACTCCGCATGCCTATGCAAATTATAGTCCCTCGTAAGAATACTCCTCCAAATTCCATACAGCCCACCCACAGGCCACTTGCTCTTGAGCGACTTCTTCCACAGCTGCCTCTCTCTCCTGCTCGCTTCAATGTCAATCTTGACCTTGTCGTACACCGAGGGCAGCGTCGTGGCGCTGTATTTCTCCCTCAGGGCTTGGTACCACGGCTTATCGTAGACCTGCCAGAACTCGTCCTCGGAGTAGTACGTGTGGGCGTAGAGCCACTTGCGGCCGCCTAGCTGGACGAGCTTGTCCTCGAGCGCGCGGTTTTTTGTGATGAAGTCGTCGTGGCTCTCGGGGCCCCAGCCCCAGACGCCAATGTTGAGCATGGGCTTGGGGATGACCTTGTTGCCGTTCTCTGAAACCTCCGTTTCGCACGTCGGGTGAAATGTCGGGTTGGGCGTCTCCTTGAGAGGGCACAGCCAGAGCGGCCAGATGCCGAACTCGTCGGTGGTGTAGTCGACAAACTCGGCGGCCTTGTCGTAGGGGACGGCCAGGTCCTGGACGACGAAGCGCGCCGACTCGCCGCTGGCGTGCAGGGCGCGGTAGAGCATGCGCGTGTGCATGAAGTCGTCAAGGAACCAGCGCCAGAAGCTGGTGAAGGGCACGTACTTGAAGTAGGTGAAGCCCTGGGCGCCGACCCAGAAGCCCGCGCGGTCGTAGCGGAAGAGATACTCGGCCAGCGGGATGTAGTCGGTGACGGCGTCGAGCGGCGTTTCGGCCGAGCTATGTCGAGTCTTGTCCTCGACGTGGAGGTAGTACCACGGGTCCTGGGCGTGGCTGAACGTCTGGACCTTGCGGTCGTCGGGCTTGTCGTCCGTCAAGCGGCCGGTGATGACAACGCCGTGGTCCTTGGAGAAGAGGATGCCGTCGACGTAGTCGTTCTTGGGGTCCTGCGTCTCGGCGCGCACACGGGCAGCGGCCTCGGCCACGCTGTGGGTGCGGTGATACGTCGTCTGGACAAATTTGCGCGCCTCAATGAGGTTCAGCTCCATGAGCGTCGTGACGCCCAGCGTTCCCACAGCGCCCGCCGCGCCGCGGAACAGATCCGAGCGCTCGGTGGGCGACGCCTGCACGACCTCGCCGTTGCCCAGCACCATCTCGACGTAGTTGATCGTCTCGTCAAAGAAGCCGTGGCGGAACGAGCTGCTCTCGCCGGCGGTGCCCGCGTAGCCGCCGCCGGCCGTGATGCCGGGGAACTCCATCACAACGGGCGGCACCAGGCCGTGGCGCAGCGTCGCCTCGACCAGACGGTCCATGGGCACATTGGGCTCGACGAGGGCCGTCCGCGCGCCGCGATCGACTGCCAGGACGTTGCTGAGGGCGCTGATGTCGACGGCGCGGTGGCCTGGACCCGGACGAGGGCGAGTGCTGTTTGTCGAGCCGTGGAAGATGCGGTACGCCTCGCCGCGCTCAAAGTAGCCCCGGACGGCGGCGGCAATCTTGGTCACGGCCTGCTTGTGGCGCTCCATTGTCGGTCAACGGCCTAGGCGCCCAATTGGCCTGTTCTGGGTGAGGGAAAGGCGAGGGTTGTTGAGAGAGATGAGAAGAAAGAGGTGGTTTGGAGTTTCTTCATGTCACCAAATGCATATGCAAATCGCATAGCTGCGCCAATTGGTTTTAGCGCTGCGGTGCCGCAGCGGAGCCGATTGGCTTTGAGCTTAAGCTTGACACGCATCGATCCGAAAGATTGTGAACCAGTAATTAAATAGGTCAAGTTAAAATGGAAGAGCCATTTTCTTAATCATATATGTGCAATTCATCATAGTGTATCTATATCCCATATAATACCTGGTATCCTATATTTACAACTTTGCTGTAATCTCCGGATGCTCTCCCTCGCCAACCTTACTTATAACCGCAGCCTGTATCTCTTCAAGAGATTCATCTAGAAGCTCATCAAATTTCAAAGGGACTTCTTCCAGCGTCCGGGCTTTGATAGTAGTTGCGCGCGACTCAATAGATACCGGACTTTCGACCGCCCTGCTAATGAAACTTGTCCAGCTCTCGAGGCAACGCTGAGAAGCAGGCAGGCGCTCCAGGAATAGCGCGAAGCAGTGCGACATGGCTTCGTATTCTTCGAATATCAACGGTACGCCGTCGGCGGCGAGCTTCATTGCCAAGGCCTTGTCTTCGTAGGCGAGCAGCTCCCAACCCGTGCACATCCACATGGGCGGCGACCCCTCCCATGAGCGGTTCATGATGAGCGTTACCAGCGGGTGCGTGGCCAGATCGTCGTCCACATAGAAACGCTTCCGCGGGGGACTTGCTGGCCAGATCGAACAAGGAGGTATCTTGGCCTCGAATTCGGGGCGTGGCTTGGGCAGATAGTCAAAGGGGTGGGGATCTTGGCCCTGCCATGGAGGCGTACTGTGCGTGATATCAATCCAAGGGGAGACACAAGCAACGCCCGCTGGTAAAAGAACCTCGCGCTGCTCGCCGTACCACTGAATTCGAGGGTTCGTGCGACGCAGCTGGAGAAGCAGCTGCAGTAGCGCAAGAGCGAGATTTCCACCGGCGCTGTTGTACGAAATCGATGCGTTAGCTAAAATGACAGTTCAAGTGGCACGGCATGTGGTGATGTATATGTCCGAGAAGTCATACCTGTCTCCCGCAAAAACAATGTGCTCTGGTTTCACAGCCTCATGAAAGGCATCCGGGGGCGGATAAAGCAGCGTAAAGTAGGACACAAGAGCATCCAGCAGCGCGCTTGGGAATGGATTCTGTGGCGCCAGTCGATATCGCACTGAATAGCATCTTCCTTTGGTCAACTCGGCCAGTTTTGTTACCGTATTACGGTGCGTAGCAGGATCGCAAAGGTAATGGGCGCCGCCATGGAAATAGAGCACTGTCGTGGGCTTTTGGCATTCTTTCATCATTTCATGAAACTTGGCCACCTCCGAGATTTTAGGCAAATGTTCCCTTTTCGAGGCTGATGCTCTATAGCCTGTCCATTCCGCCTCTACGTGAGAGAAGGGGGGGATCCTGACGTTGCCCTCTTTCACGTTTTCGTCTCTCATGCTCTCCACGACTTGTATCAGTGAGTCTCTGATGTCGGTCTCGGGCGGAGGAGGAGAGGCATATGAGCTGACCCATATTTTGCCCTTGATCTCAACGTTGCGCGTGGTGAATTTCTGGACAGAGGACACTGGCCGTGGAGTTGAAGGCGTCAACACTGCGCGTATTAGAGACACTACCAAATTAGATTTCAGGTCGAGGTATTTTGATGGCTCTGAGAGCTGCAGAACATGTAAAATGGCAACTTGGGTTAATAGGGGAATTTTCGACAGAAGCATAAACAGGAGTCTGAGGCCAGAAGTGAGCTGCGCAGTGTGAGATGGTGACGAGGGAGAGACAATGGTGGCCTCGACGGTTGGGGACGGAGGCCCGTCCATTATGTTGAGAAGAAAACAAAATAGATGTGATCTTGCTTAGGTTTGGTAGAACGGAATAATGAAAATTAGGGAATAAAAAATTAGAGGAAGAAGGGAGGGAAAATGTCTTATAAAATAAAAGGCGTCATAGAAGTCATTTCAATTTTAGGGGCGGGAAAGTTGGACGGTGTAAGGGAAAACAGCCTAGAGTTGAGTGGAGAGGTCCATCATCAGGTACAGAATCGAGGCGTTTGCACTATCATCCGCGGGGCTTGATTGAGATGCGAGGCTGTGGATACCTGTCAGTTTCCCTGGCTTCTCTATAGAAAAACAATTACTTTTGGTAAAGTTTGCGAGCATCGTAGTGGGCTGCCATTTCTAGACTGCAGTTAGGGGCGCATTAGGAATCTGATGCTCGGTGACGGACAAGAAGCCGAGCCTCGGCCCGTCTTTCAGCACCCTAATATGACGGCCACTGGAGCTTAATTCAAGATATTATAGAAGCTTGTCTTGGCTTATTGAATGCTTATTGAATGACATTCATATCCTCTAGCAACTAACAATGAAAGAAAAAAGTATGGTCCATTTGATATTAAATACATAGAAATTGCAACCAACGCTCCAGCCGTTATCCAATTGATGTCTGCATTTCTTTATCCGTAGCGCAACAGTAACCGCAATTTAGAGCAAAAACCGTACAATGCATGGCGAACTTCAACTAATGAATGATTTACGAGCTGCCTGCCGCGGCATCTGCGGTGGTCTTCTCAGCTTCTTTGCCGGAAGAACCAGCAGATCCGGCATTCTGGCCGGCCATGGCCATCTGCCATGCCGGGATGGACGCCTTACCCGCGGAGCCAGAGGTTCTGCTGAATCTGTTCTGAGACGCACTCTTAGGGGCCTCGGGCTTCGTTTCCGTAGAGGTCTCGGCAGAAGGAGAAGCTACTGCCGCCGGGGGTGATGTTGTTCCACTGGTTGCGCTGGCGCCGTTAACACCGCTGGATCCATTGGTGCCTCGGAAATAGCCACTTGAAGCAGACACATTGGAGTTGGCATTCATCCTTTGCGACACAAGGGTCTTGAGGCTGGTCAGCTCGGTGTTGATTTCGACGAGTCGGTTATCGGTTTGCTCCTTCTGGTTGTTCATGGCTCGCGGAATTGCGTCCTTGAGGCCCTGTACTTCGTCGCGAATGCGCTGCGCGTCATCTTCCCGGCGCCTATTTGCCGCCTTGAGTTCCGTCATGATGGTCTCGATGTCTGCGAGTGTGATATCCAGCTTCTCTGTCCGCTGCTTCTCGGCATCTTTCAGCGCCTCTGTATCCTTTGATAGCTGTTCAACCAGGGCAAATGCCTTGTCAAACTGCTCTTCAATCGACTTCTTATCCTGCTCCAGCTTTTCAGGGGTAGGTGGCGCTACGAGAGGGTATACATAACGCTATCGTTCTCTCGTTAGTCCAGCTGTGATAAAACGCGTGTATTTGTTGCTCCTACCTTGCCCAAGGAGAACAGCCCGTAGCTGACTCCGCCCACCACAGTAGCCATGATGAACCAATCTCTCCAATCCCTTTTCGGCGCGGCCGCAGGTGGTTGCCATGCAGCATACTGAGGATAAGGCTGATAATATTGTTGAGATGGACCCTGTGGTGGCGGCGCGCTTGGATAGGGGGCCGCCGCAGCTACCGCGCTGTTGCCCCCGGCTCTGGCGAGAGCAGCATCAATCTCCTCCTGCGTTAGGTTCTTGGTTCGAAGAAACGAAATCTTGTTATCGATGGATGACGTTGCAACGCTAGGGTCTTGTAAAACTGTGCCATTGTCAATATCGTGTCTCGTGAGAGTGTCATGCAATTAAACAGGTCGAGAATGGGGAACTAACATTGCGCCTAGAAGAGTATTTGTCAGTAAGAGTTGAACCCGCGAATGTTTACCTTGAGGGGGTTGGATTGTATAAAGCGACTTACTGCAGACGCCACGATTTCCTCGCGTATCGCCATGATGATAGACAAAGATGCTCAGACCGAGCCTCCAGCACCACCAGAGTAGACGGAAATCTTGGCTGTAAATTGAGAAGCTGATGATGAACAAGGCACGAAGCACGAGATGCCCTTGATGCGACAGGCATATGCTGGGCTCGGTAATTGTGGACCAGCTGGATGGCTGAGCGCTGTCTCCGGAAAAGCGCCCAAAAGCCTGGACCGAGGCAACGGGCTCAATTAAAATCACAGGTACGTACCTTTTCTGGGCTTGTTGCCGGCTCTTCAAAGATCACGTGCAGCATCGTCTCACGTCTCTTGTTCTCCCCATCGCGCTAGGATGCCGCTACCCAATAAGCGATTTGTTTACTTTCTCACCGAGCAACCCAGGATACCTTATCTTTTTTCCCCCCAAGTCCAACTGCCCCACGACGCCTATCACCCAACCCGCTTCGTTGAGCATAGCGAAGTTCTGATTTTTGTTTCTGATTTCTATCCGCCAACATTGCAGGCTTAACTCTCTGGTAATCTGAATCGTGTCGCAAAGCCAACAGCCCCGCGGGAAGGCTATTCATCATGTCTCAAGATACGAACCTATGGAGCGTCCGCAGGAAAAGAGAGGTAAGTCGTTTCTGTCGCAGAATCGGAAAACTGGGACAATCGTCGCTTGCGGCGCGCAATCAATAACCGCTGACCGGCACCACAGACGTTGGCGGGCATCAGTACGAATAGCGGAATACCAGCTCCGGGCAGCTTGAAGCGCCCGAATCCGAGCTCCAGCTACGGCAGCGCTCACGGACGCTCAGTATCGGGATCTAGGCACTCCTTGGCTGTAACGCGACCGAATCCGCCAATGTTCCCGCGCGCATCATCAGGCGCCAACCTGGCTGACCTCGGATTATCTTCTGTCAAGCGAACCTCCTTTCAACAGTCCAGAGCGACTTATACTCCTTCAGCATTCACTCCCGGCCTGGCGAGACCGTCGATGGAAAGCGACAGGCGCAGCAGCGTATACCGACCGCGACCATCAACAGCCGGCCCTGTAAGCCACCAGAGCTTTTTCCAAACAACGCCCCAGGCGGCGGGAGTTCCACGCGACCCGCGGCCCTTGAGAGATCGATCATTCCAAGCCCGAATCGCCCAGGAGCTGATGGATTTCATGGTCCAACACAATTTTGAGATGGAAATGAAGCATTCGCTGTCGCAAAACATTCTCAAATCTCCGACTCAAAAGGATTTCAATTTCATGTTCCAGTGGCTTTACCACCGGATTGACCCTAGCCATCGGTTCCAGAAAAATATTGATCAAGAAGTGCCACCCATTCTGAAGCAGCTTCGATATCCCTTTGAGCGTAGCATCACAAAAAGCCAGATTGCCGCGGTGGGCGGACAGAATTGGAGCACCTTTCTTGGTCTTTTGCACTGGATGATGCAGCTGTCGCAAATGCTGGATGGCTATGCCAACAACCATTATATGGAAGCTTGTCTCGACGCGGGCGTCGATGTAAGTGGCGATCAGATCATCTTTGGCTTTCTTAGTAGTGCATACAGAGACTGGCTCGCTATGGATGACGATATGGGCGACGAGGATGCAGAACGACTACTAGCTCCGCACGTTGAGGCAATGGCTAGGGCGTTTGAACAGTCCAACTCTAAATATACAGCGGAACTCGAAATGCTAGAGGCCGAAAACGAGAGACTTTTGAAGGAAATCGAAGACCTTGAAAAATCGACTCCAGATCCTGCTGTTTTGGATAATCACTTTAAAATCATGGAGGAGGATCGCATCAAATTTGAGGACTACAACGAGCTCGCGGTTCAACGCTCAGAAAAATATGAAGCCAGAATTCTAGTCTTACAAGCGGAGCTGGATAAGTTAAGGGAGGAATTGAAAGAGGTTGAAGAAGAGCGACGAGGACTTCAAAAGGCTGTTGACGACCAGGGCATCAGCATGCAGGATATCGACCGCATGACTTCGGAACGTGAACGCCTGCAAAAAGGTATTGAGTCGGCCGGACAGCGGCTCGATGAAATCAAGAAAAAGGTGATGGAGAAGGAAGCTGAAGCTAGCCGAAAGCTCGATGAGCTCGAGCGCGTGGTGGACAAGTACAACACAATAGCCTATCAGATTGCGCTCATTCCGGCTACGGCGGTCAACGCCAAAGGCAGAGAGTACGAGCTGCAGGTAACTCTTAACGAGAATAGCATGGGCTCGTCAAATTGGAAGAGCTCCAGCACAACACACACTCCTGCGACAGATCGATTGCTTGTGGACGCTGTAACGGGCTATCAACCGGGGCATGTGCTCAACCTGGACCTTCGAGGACAAATCCGAAACAGCTTTATATCTTTGCGGAAAGAAATTGCAGACCGACGCGGGGCTGTCATGGACGATATGATGAAGGATCACGATCTCTTGGACGGCATTAAGGAAGCCATCGAAGACAAACGGAACGAGGTCGAGGCTTTGAATCACCGAGTCAGGGCGGCAGAAGAGGAATATGAAAAGACCAAAGAAGTTGCTACGGCGCAGAAGATGGCATCTGATGCGCAAATTGAAAAGATGGAAAAGGAGCTGTCCAGAATGCGCGCTGGTTTGACAGAATCGGTACAATTACTGGAACAGCGCGAGATTAATACCACCATAGAGTACGTCTGACCCTCCCTTACTAAGCAAATCAGAATAGCTAACTGTGTTGATCAGGTATGAACAGCTGGTATTGCGAGCCAATTCGCTACGAGAAGAGCTTCACACGGAGATTGATCGTATGCTAAACGATGTAATCAAGTTCAAGATTCACGTTCAAAAGAGCCTGGACGACTACGAGGGCTTTGTAGCAGACGAGCTAGAAAAGGAGCTAGGGGGTGACGAGATGATGCTGGATGAAACCCGAACACTACCGGACATCTAAACAGTTGGCGGCTACTCGATTTACGTGCTTTGAACGATATTTTTATGATTGGAACAGCGTTTGATGATGGGCGGAGTTGCTGGTGTTGGTTGGTAAAAGGGCTTGTGTGCCGGTTTCGTTTTGTGCATAGATTTTTGAAGATACCACTAGCAGCTATTTTGCTGATTAAATGAATGATGACTTGGGAGAATATGAACTACACTACCTTAGGTACTTACTCATCCACTTCTTTTCTTCTCTTCTCTCTTTTTTTCTCTGGACGTGCGCTACCTGATGGCAGGTCATTGTGATAGACTTGCGCCGTATCAATGAGGCCGATGCCTATTTCTGAGTGTATTTCAACGCGATGGACTTGGTAGAAGGGGGGGATGAGTCGTTGATTCGATTCCTTGAGGCCGCGCTCTGGCCTCGTTTGCTTTCTTTCCCTTTCTCTTCAGTCGCCTATGTAACCAGATACTAGTCATCTTCATCACAAATAATAATTGTCCTAGACAAATGGTGCACAACAACACACCTCCTGACGCCGAACATAATACCTTTCTTCCTTGCTGTAGCCGATTGATACTGCTCCTTATCTCTCTTCCTAGACCACTCTTGCCAATACGTTTTATCAATTTACCGCCCATGCAAAACAATCACTCCACTGTGGCTTTGGGTATGTGAAATAACCCAGCCGTATGACATAAGAAGTTGACATGTTTTCAAGACATTATTACTATCTGTTAACTCTCACGCGTAATGCATGTTCATCGGGTAGTGTGCTGTAATAACTTTAATGTTTATATCCTGCATGTACGCATTTGACCCACTATCATACTTATATTACTATAAACTGTATCTCGACTTACTCACATTTAACGACAAGAGAACAATACACTGACTGGCATCCAAAGAATATACGAATACTCCAATTTCCCGCCAGGTTTCAAGCAGAATTACCTTTCAGCATCTACGCACCTATATTCTATTACTATTATTAAAGCCTCTCCACGCTCAACCATTCTATATTTCTGTCAATACCATTTCTGTCTAGTTACATGTCGGCCAATCAAATCCAAACCGCTGCTCAGCCTTCTCTCATTCAAAAAGCACATCTATTAACGGAGTAAACCCCGCCGCGTTTGTTAGGGTGAATGACATTGCTGAATTTCCTCTGACAGACAACAAACCTGTCGGCGGGGTGAAAGCCGGAAAGGCCTTTTTCAGTCGCAAAGGCAACAAATTGATCAAGTCAATCAAGTTTTGGTCCGCTGAGGATCACCTGGTGGCTGTTGAGATTGGCTGGCACGAAGACGACTTGACCGAGATCCATGGAGATACCTCGGAGGCGACCGCATTGAAGTCACTCAGCCTTCAAGGGGGCGAAAAAGTAAAGCATGCCTCTCTCTGGAAAACAAAAGGAGGGGACGCAGTTGCGTATATTGAACTGGAAACAGATTGTATTCAGTACTTTGCGGCGGGAACGAAACCGGCAGACGTGAATCCTGTCAAGGAAGATGTCGGCAATGGATATCTAGCCGCCCTGACTGGCACTGTCGGCAAGGAATTAAGCTCCCTGGGGCTTTTATTCCAGTCGAGTGAAGTAAAGACAGGGCAGAGGATACTGATCACGGGATTTTCGGAGCATCCATCGGTAGACGATATCCGCTCCGTCATGTCGTTTACGGAAACGTATAACAATTTGACAGACGGGCCCGTCGACTGGAACTTTACCAAGACCAAGCAATATACCTCCACCCAAGAGAGTGGAGGAAAAGCCACAGCGAACAATTTGGGGTTGTTGCCTCTGTCACTGGAGGCTTTCTTGGAATCTCGTTTGGCGGCGGTGCTTCTTGGTCTGTTTCAGACACTGAAGAGCACGGAAGGTCCTGGTCTGACTCGTCTACTTTCAACTGGGGAACTAGCAGGACCTTGAAGCCAGGTCAAAAAATCCAGGTCACTTCTTACACGGTATCGGGACAGACTACTTTGAACTTTGGCTATCGAGAGTGGTGGGAAATCTGTATCGGAGGTCTTTGTAGTGGCGGTTGGGGCCTTGGTCTAGTAGGAGGGCCCTTTAAAGGAGGGCTCTATGCAAAGGGAGAGATTACGATCGAGAACGTGTGATTAGGTGTAGTTACAGCCCAGTCGCGGGTATATAGAAGGGGGACATGCCAACGCCAAAACTTGCGCGGGTGCATCATTCTGGCATTAAGGTACCTTTCTATTGTTCGGATTGAGTTTCTTCTCACTCGCCTTGACGATGTATTTAAAAGGCCCTTTTTTTTTTCTTGAACAGGGCTGTACAGATTGGATGAGCAAGAATCGACTCTTTGTCCCTATCCCTTTTGATGTTCTTGGAGAGGTGCCTTGGCCCACATGTCGAGTGCCGCCTGTTGGCCTTTTCTGGACCAGAGCTGCCACCGCCCTAGAATCATTGAGAAAGAATTAATAGACACCAGTTCCGTCTTGCACAGGTAGATGGCTTGTTTCTTTCCATCACTACTAGTATAATCAAGGTATTGATTGTCATTGTTTCAACGCCGTCTCGATGATGGTAGCACGTGATCAGCGGAAAACTATTTTTCCGCGCCGCGATTAGCCCCAATGAGCCGATAAGCTTTTCACCATAGCTATCGCCAAACTTTTTTTTTTCCTCGAAAGACGCATTTTGTCAACCATTCACCAACTTTCCTAACCGCCTCTCAAAACACATCCGGCCGTGAGCCTCATTCGGGCGAGCCCCTTATTACCGTATTTCGAAAATGTCTACCGCCAATGAAGCTGGTAAGTCATCTCTGAAGACTCCGAAGACTCTGGACGCTCTGGAGACACTGAAGACAGTTATCCGTACAATTGCTTGATCTTGCCTGCTAACATTTTTTTTTCCCACAGCTTGGCCCTTGGCCGATGCCGCCCTGACCCAGGAGATTCTGGATCTCCTCCAGTCGGCCATGCACATCCGTCAGGCCAAGAAGGGTGCCAACGAGGGTATGTTAGCCAGCTCTTTTTAAAATTGCGATTGTGACTGACCTTGTGGTTTGCAGTCACCAAGTCCATCAACCGTGGTACTTGCGAGCTTGCCGTCCTGGCTGCCGACACCGAGCCCCTCGCCATCATCCTCCACATCCCCCTCATCTGCGAAGACAAGGGCGTCCCGTACGTCTACGTTCCCAGCAAGACCCTGCTTGGACGTGCTTGCGGTGTGAGCCGTGCCGTTATTGCCGCCAGCATCAGCTCCAACGAGCTGTCTGAGCTTTCCGGCCAGATCAAGGCTCTGCAGCAGAAGGTTGAGAGACTTGCCATTTAGATTTGGCATCTGCTGAGCCTTGCGGTTGGATTGGGAGGGAATTGTGTTGACGCATGTATCCTTTCGCACATTTGTAGTATGTGTGAAGGAGATGCGGTTGCAGCACAGTAGTTTAGTAGGATAGATTGTCCTGATGGGCCAATGACATTTTCACTTGGGTAAAACCTTGTGTTTTGAACTAAGCTTACATAACTTGCCTCTTCTGATTGTCCGTGAAATTGTGATCTTGTAACGATGCCTCTGTTCTCTATGCCAAGATTCCCAGCAGAGAGCGTAAACCTGAAGTTGGCAATAATTGACTGCTATCTTAGTACCTGAAGGATATTGTAGTCTACTGTCTCATCATTTTCATTTACAGCATCTACCGATCTTCGTCTAGCGCAGGGATAGTCTAGATGCGGCAGTCAGCACTTAGTCTACACTCTGCATTTTCCGCAAAAAAGCGGCCAAGGCACGCTTATTCGCCAGCGCAAAGTAGTAAGCGGAGTTAAAAACCACGGCCTTAGTGAAGCGGGCCGCAGGTCGGAAAATGCCTAGTAAAGCGAACAGATGGAAATTGCCTAATGCGGAAGGCAAGCTGTAACGAGCGAGGATGCAAGAGACAATATGCAGCATCAGTAATCATAAAAGCGATATACTTATAAAGTTTCTTATTGTATGCTTGAACGGCGATTATGGTGACACGTCTTAAAGTCGTACTACAAGCATCCTGCTGCATTGTCATCAGGTTTCTACCTAGTCTGGGCAAATGCCGCCAATGGCTTTTATCGGATTCCGAAGTCCGCACAGAAAAGCCCTAAATCCTTCAGCCCAAACCACTTGCATATACCAGTGCCATCTCGGACAAGGAGAATCCAGGAGGGGCGTTCGGTTCTCGCATTCGCTTGTTTTAACTCCGTCGTCTAACAGATGGCTCGATAGATAGTCAGATAGTCAGATTGTCAGATACAGGAGGATGGACAACTACGTGGACACGTACGCAGGCCCCTGCTCCATCTCAGCCTTACTGGTCCACGTTTCTTTCTCTAGAGGTGGCTTATTTTCATTGCATTTATGAGTATCATCATGGGTCTTAATTAAACACGTCTTCAGGTGAACTTATATCCCCTTCTCCCCCCTCTGTCTCCTGTCCTCATGTCGCAGTCCCGTCAACGGCTTTTCCCAAAGCTGTGGCAGTTCTACTACACCCGCGTCCAAGCCAAAAACATCACCAAACCTGCTCAAACGCAGCGAATCCCTCTCCTCCTCTTCATCACAGCCGCTGCCGCAACAGCCACCACCGCCGCAGCCATGACGCGCAAATCAACCTCCTCCACCATCTCATCTCAGCATCTCTCTTCCACGTCCGTCACTAAAATCCCCGGCCGCGACAACTTCCCGGAAGAGGCCGCCTCCAACCCGCACCACATCGTCAAGAAGAGCGGCGCCATCTCCGGCTTCCAGAATCCGTACCCGTCATGGTCCAATCCGCCCAACTTTTTGTCCATCCTCGGCAAGGTCGTCTGGCCGACCATCACGGGCGAGATCAAGATGCCGGACACGAAGCCGCCGACGGTGACTGTCGTGACGCCCGAGTGGCTGCCTGCGCGCGATGCGTCGGACAAGATCAGGGCGACGTGGCTGGGCCATGCGTGCTACTATGTCGAGTTTCCGTCGGGATTGCGCGTGCTGTTTGATCCCGTGTTTGAGGACCGGTGCTCGCCGTTTAGCTTCATGGGGCCGAAGCGGTATACGCCAAAGCCCTGTGATCTCAAGGACATTCCCGTCGTCGATGCCGTCGTCATTAGCCACAGCCACTACGACCATCTCTCCCACGGCTCGGTGCTGGAGATCCAGAAACACCACCCAGACGTGCAGTTCTTCGTCGGGCTGGGCCTGGAGTCGTGGTTCCGCTCCAGCGGCCTGAAAAACGTCACCGAGCTGGACTGGTGGGAAGACGCCGAGCTGACCGTCAAGGTGCCCGTCGGCGGCGAGAAGCAGTCCATCTCGGCCCGGATATCGTGTCTGCCGTGCCAGCACACCTCGGCCAGGACGGCCTTTGACAAGGACACCACGCTGTGGTGCTCGTGGGGCGTCCGCTCCGGCGAAAAGAGCGTTTGGTTCGGCGGCGACACGGGCTACCGCGCCGTTCCGTATCTCCCGGCCGATATTGACGACTACGCCGCCGAGTACGATTCGTTCCCCAGATGTCCGCAGTTCAAGCAGATTGGCGAGCATCGCGGGCCGTTTGACCTTGGCCTGATCCCCATTGGCGCCTATGCCCCTCGTGCGGCCTTCTCGGCCATGCACGCCAATCCGTATGACTCGGTTGAAATCTTCCAGGACACGAAATGCAAAAAGGCCATGGGCATCCACTGGGGAACGTGGGCGTTGACGATGGAGGAAGTGCTTGAGCCGCCGCGAAAGCTGAAAGAGGCGCTGAAGCGTAAAGGCATTCCCGAAGAGGGCGTGTTTGATGTTTGCGACATTGGCCAAAGCCGAGAGTTTTGATTGGATAGACGCTCTCAATAATATATTGCTGATCAAGGAAAGGAAGTGGTAGCTCGGAGTTTACTTAAGTTTGATAACGAAAGACAGCGTTCGTTAAACTGGCAGTTGCTTTGCTTACGCCAAGCTAAGTTGCTTATTTTGTATTACTAGATCTTATTCACCATGGAATGTTCCATATTTATCACTTTCAATTGCGGGTCATGTCATTGTTTATATCATGGATAGTCTATTTCTAGCGGCTCATGTTTGATATTTTTCTAAGTTTAGAATACCCCAACTCACTCAATTACTGGCGGATTCTGAAGGGGTGTGCCTCTGTGTTGAAGACAAACTTGTTGCCGCTCTTCTGCAGCTGAACATCCGACTCTTCAGCAAAGATCAGGTAAGCGTACTTGAGGACCTCGGCAAACCAGAAGCTTTCCATATCGTCAGAGGCTCCTCCGCCATTGGCCTGAGTCACATCGTTGAGAGACGAGTATGCGCTGCCGGCGCGGGTTTTGCTGAGGATGGCACTGATGGCATCCCATGCGATGTCCTGGTACTTGGAGTCGCCTGTAATTCGGTACGAGTAGTAGATGCTCTCCAAGGTCTCTGGCCTCAAGATGTAATACGGAGCCGTCACCCAGAATCCTGCCGTGGAGTAGAATCCTGCGGCGGACGAGGGAGGCTGGCTGCTGCTGCTGTTTGCGCTGTCCACCCATTGGAAGCCTTCGGGGCCGATTCCAGAAGCAGTCGAGTTGTAGGTATCAAAGTACGAATTGGTGAGCTCGATGCCAAAGTCAATGTACTTTTGCTCGCCCAGGAGGATGCCTCCCAAGATGAAGTTGCCACCAGCAAAGCTGGCCACTAAGGGTGAAAAGCAGTCATTAGCGTCATGTTCCTTACTTTTAAAGCTTCCCCATGTTTAAATAACTTACAATGTCCTGATTGCGGCGATGTAGTTTGTCCAGAGTATTGGGACAAGAAAGTTAGATCCTTGCGCGAGGTCGGGTGAGAGGCAAGGTGCGCAATAGTCGAATCGGCAGCAAGAACCCAGCGGTCTTTGTACTCTCCAAACGTGTCAGGGTCATACAGATACATCTTGATCAGATACTCGTAGAAGCTGTCTGAGAGAGCGGACCAGCTGCCATTGCTATCCTGGAACTGGCCATTGCTTGTGCTGACATATGTTCCTACAAGACCCGGCCATGCCTCTGGGCTTCCTGTTGGGTTGAGGAGATATGATTGACCCTTTTGGGCAAGCTGACCATACAGAGGATTGCCAGTGAGATCGCTGAGGTGCGTCCACTCAAGAACCAGTGTTCCAATCTCTGCAACATTGTTGTTTCCTGTGCCACTGTTCCTGTAGGTGGGGTTAAAGTAAACGGTCGGGTCCGGGACACCACTTGTGGTGTTGAATGAAACCTTGAGGCCGTTTGCGAGTGATTCAGCCTGAGTCAACAGGTTGTCTACTAACGTGTGGTTCTTCACAACAGATTTGAATGGCCCTTTCAACAGATCGTAACCTACAACATTCCCAATCAGTACGGCTACTTCGAACAAAACAATACATACACCACAGGGATGAATCAAGACTTACTGGCTAGCATGCCACCAATATATCGGATGTTGGTCTCAAATACAGAGATGCCCTCATTGGCATTCGCAGTAGTAGTAAAGTCAATTTGAGGCACACGCTTGAGAATCGTGTTGACTATGTCAGAGTCTCTCATGAGAATGGCCGTGTCTAGGCCATCAATGGCTGATGAGCCCCAGCCATTTCTAAGATAAAGTTAGCCACCACAGCGGGCATCCAATCTAGCGGGCGCTCAGAACCAGTAGCTTACCTCTCATCATCATAGGTATTGCTGATCGGGTGAAGATCGTCGTGGGGAAAAGCATATTGGTGGTACGCGTTCCATGACGTTTGGAATGCGGCTTTGACCGCTGCCGCCCTCGTAGGATTGGGTGAACCGCGCTTCACACCGGCCGGGCGTGGGAATGCCAACGCAGGGGCAACGAGCCCAAGGGCAACAACAGAGCCACTGATGAATCTCATACTGTCTAGAGTATTCGTGCCTTTCGGAGAAGATGGCCGGCAAGATGGGAAGAGAAGAGGCCCAAACTCAGCAGAAAACAGGGTTGCGGATCTCAGCCCGGGAGGCGGGAAAGCTCTGCAATTTAATCATTTCTGATTCCTTGATCCTCCCTTTTCTGCAAAGCCAGAGAATGCGGGGCCCTGGTCAACAGGTACCATGATTGTTTATGCGAGCGTGAGGCCGAGATTACGCTTTTGCCCTATTTCAAGACATGGCGCCGCCTAGGGATGCGGGCACGGCATCCCGGCATGCTGTTTTTTCGAACAAAACGGCCGGCATCGTGCATTTTGGCGCGTCTCGTTGCCTCAGAGCGGACGAAGCTTGCCGGTGGAAAAGGCCACAGCAGGCAGGTGACACCAGGAACTAACAGCAGCTTGCATATAGCCTCTGTCCATGACGGAATCTTTGGTTACCCCAACAAGCTGGACAAGATGAAGTTCCCGTATGGGTCTCGAGGATCTTATGACATATTGCTTCGTGAACCATGATTGGCCCTGTTATAGGTATGCTGGGCACGCTTGCAAGGGGTCGTGAGGGGAAGTTGAAGATCACACCCTATTCTGAGGTATCATTGTGATCCAAATCTAGCATAAGAAGCATGTGTGGTAGTGTGTGTGGTGAGGCCAAAAGTCCGGACAGCCCCGAAAAGTCAGATCCCGGGAATTGCCAGAGCTTACTACATGTTCGTTAACGCCAATATAATAAGATGAAAACTGTCTGATCCAAAAGACCATTGAAGGCTGTAAAAGCACGACACCGCATCTTGTAAGATTTTTTGAGTCTCTCGTATGCATAATTACTTAGTATACAACGTAGTATGCCAGGATGCGAAGCTAGCTTGCCTGGGTAACACGGCCAACAAGATAGTATAATCGATGCCTAGCAAGCCTAGCAAAAGTCGACATGCTTGTGAATCCGGGCATCCTCAACCTGCTGTTTACCGCTTAGCGCTTCGAGCACCTCCGAGTATTTAAGCGGCGGTATGATATCAGAAGAGCTGGCTTCTCCACAGATTGGCGACGGCACTTCAGGAACCGGGGCTTTGGCTGGGCCCCGCTCTTCAACCCCAGGCACAAGCTTGCTTAAGATGCCCAACGATGGTTGGACGGAGCTCCGAGGTGCGGAGGTGAACCGTCCTGATGCGGCCGCCAGAGCCAAGACTCGATCGTTGGAGCGCGCGATCTCTTGCCGTTAGTCACCACCATTTCATGCCATAGTGCTGCTCCAATACAGACTCGATAATGCAATGCATGTTTCCATACGTCCGACGGGTGTCTTGGTTGTACGCAAGGGCAAGGCCAGTCTCGTAATGTACTTGGCAGCCTTTCTTTGCCCAAAGGTCGTCCTTTGTAATCCATCCGCGGCTGTGAACGGTATAAAAGAGATAGTCTCATTGTGCGGAGTACGAGGTGTTACCGTTACGCATTTTCATGCGTTAATGAGCCGCGCATCGACTACTAATGCTAGCCCCCCTCTTTTCGGCAGTTCTGCGGCGCTTGGCCGCGAACCGACATGTCGTGGATGCAGGATTCTGTGGGGGAACATGTGATATCATGCGAGAGAGAGTTAACGTCTTCACCCATTTTGTCGTAGCCTTGCCAGTGCTGCTGCCACGCCCTCACTTAGCTGGCCACTTTCCTTACTGGGCTGTGGTGCTGTAGGCTGAGGAACCTGCTTTTCTTCTCGATTAATCATCTCAAATGCATCTTCGTCATCATCGCTATCTTCGTCGAGGAAGCGAAACTGCGCGGGAGGTTGGGTGCTCCCAGACTGACGGTCTGAGGCGTTCCCAGCCGGTGAATTAAAGTTGGAGGAACTGTGCGATGTTGCCTTTGTTGGAGGAGCCCGAGACTTGGGGTTTTCTGTCTCTGACGGACCGCTGGCATCATTTGCGCTCGCTGTTCTTGAACTACGCACGGCAGTAGCTGTCGACGATGATTGAAAGCCTCTTTTGGCCGCCTTCTTTGCTCGGAATGGCTCCTCGACCGCGGCAGTCCATCTCTTCACTTTCACTCCGCCCCACCCGCCCATCATACTCAATTGCTCGGGCTCTGCATTGATCGCATTCTTCAGGCTGCCAAAATTAGCAACCAGGGCCACCGCATCTGACTTATTCAAACTCCTCGGCACCGTAACGAATTCCACCAGCTTGTCCGCATAATTGGTGGATTGTTGTCCGCGAATGGCCGAGAAATTGGCGTTCTCGTACGACTTGTAGAGCTCGAGGTATCGGGCGGCTTCAGCTGCGGACCAGCAAAGTATAACAGTAACGTTGTTTACCACCGAAGTTTTTGATAGTTCACGTATTGAGTCCTCGTGATTCGGAATATCGACAAGGGTGAGAAGAATACGCAGATTGTATTTGCCTTGCAGATTGCGAATGCGCGTGTAGATGTACTCGGGATGTAGACGGTGATACTTGAGACTGTATAAGGGCACTCGAGGTTGGAATCAATGGACTGGGATCTAGTAACCGTAAATGATATTTCCTCACCTCAAGAACAGCACACAAGTGGTCAACCCAACGACATAGTCGGCTGGTATGTCACTGTATTCCCATGGAATCGACCGGATAGATGTCAGCACCGGGTTGCCTCGTTGGCGCGGGGATACAAGAATCGTCGACCCGAGGTTCTTTTGTTGAATTATCTGCGGTTTTGGCTGCACTATGGGATTTGATGGGCCGCTGCTTTGACTGCCACTGCTGGCTGCTGGCTTGTTGAGCATCTGGGGCGTGGGCTGCTTGATAGCAGATGCCGAGGGAACCGAGTCCACGGCGGCCATGGCCTCTAGCAAGGCATCATCTGCGCCGTAGTCATCGTCGTCCATGATTGTCTAGAATACACAACAATTGAGCGTGAACTAGGCGGTTGAAGCCAGCGATGGCGGTGGTGAATTCTGTGGATGGTGGGAAGCTGAGCTTGAGAATTAACGGTATCTAAAGTGGGGCATATTACCACATGCCTGCTGTAGATCCAGCGCCTACAGCAGCCGTTCAACAGTCAAGCCATTGCACGAATACTTGTACTCTCCAATTCTGTATTTGATTAAGAGGCTCTGGAACATTCTCAAGGATTATGATATCATGATACTTTCGTAAGTCATTGGGTCTACCCACTATTCTTCTAACAGTGAGACTTTGACGTGCTTTCTCTGAGTAACGAACAAAACATCTGCGCTAAAGCCAGCTTGGACATCGACAGTTGACATATGAGTTCGTGCTTCAGGCTCTAGGGTCGGCTTTATAAGTTGTTATATGTACATCTCCCGTCTCACAATACTTCAAAGCAATAAATATGGAATTGTCAATCTTGAACTAGCCAAAAAAAATTTAATACCGAGCAGTGAACATACTAGCAGGTTAATTCTTAGAACTGAAATCGCGACACAGAGTTACCATTGCAAAACGACAGCATACATAGGTACTTTATTATGCGGAAACTTCAAGTTGTTTAATGCATCGAGTTACCTTGATCCAAAATTTGATTTTCTTGACGGGTATTTTTTTTCTTGCCTGTCGCCGTGGGCACATTTTCCTAGGTACACTGTATCCAAACCCCCTTTCCCCCAAGAACTTTTATCGCTTCTGGTTTTCTTCTCCTCGTATACAGGGTTCTCGTGCTGATGGGCGTCAAGTAAACGCCTGTTGTCATTACGTGTCTTATGCGCCTTGATCCAGACAATGAGGTTTTGGAGACGAGGAAATGCGCGATGACAACGGCACATTGGTTGGAGTCTGTTTTATAGAGAGACACCCGATGTCCCTCTCGGACAGATTACTACACCTAGTAGCTATTGAGTGAGTGGCTGTCAGCGAACACGGGCTGTTGTGATTTTTTTTTCGCTCCTGTATATGGTTCTTTGGTGATTGTCTATGTAAAAAGGCTCAGCAATTGAACCAGCACATACGGTCATTAGGTATGTAATCGAAAATTCGGGGTCCCGTTTAGCGCTTCTCTTAAGTGTAATGTGTAGGTTCCATTTTTGGCATCCCACAACTCTAAATCTGGAGTTACAGGGTCCCGTTTCTAGTGATTTAACTACTAATCCTGCGCTAAATGGCAGTAGCCATGAAACCCCTGCCTACAATCACATCGGAGCTAACGCCACCGTTTTATATCATGCACACGCTGTATGGTGCCAGTGTTCTATCACAGTGATGTTCTGGTTGACTACCTCATGTATAGGGACGCGCGTCTAGATTTACTTTTCTTTCTTTTTCCAAAGCGAGACGATGGTGACGAAATACATACGAAGATTGCCCCCACCGAAAATTAACATGTGACCGGCCAGCCACGCTGAGCATTTATTCCCTTTCTTCTATTTAACTCTCGCCTTCCCTCACCAACGTCTAAAAATGTACAGTCAGCCACCGCGGTTAGTAGGTACGGTTTTGTAGCAGACAGAAGGCATGGTAGCATATTACGATGCAAGCCAGTGTCAAGCTAGACGATTGCTGGGATTCGGGCGATGATGATTCACGTCTAAGCCCACAGGCGCATTGTGGGATACTGGGGGGAACATCACTTGAGGAATTCAAGCTCAAAAATGTACAGTCAGTGATTGGCGTTAGTTATTTCCAAAATTTGCTAGCAGACAGAAGGCATGGTAGCATATGACGATGCAAGCCAGTGTCAAGCTAGACGGACTGCTGGGATTTGATCTGGCCCTTGGTGAAAGTACAAGAACTGACCAGCTTGACTGTAGACCTTGGGCCAAACTGGAGACAGTGATGACCATCATTTATCGGGCGGTGGACCTCCCGAAGGACCCAAGGAGGTCCCCAATGACTGCTGAGTCTCCAGAGAATGGCATCCCCCGGAGCGAACCAGGAAGCAGAAAAAGAGGCAGAGTGGCTAGTGGCCAAAGAACAACAAGATGACTGCCATTAATGCGGTAGTGTTGTGTTGTGGTGGGAATGAAAAGACAGAGAGAGAAATGGTGGGCGATGTTCATTTTA